TTGCCTGCTTTAGCACTTCAAGCTGAGAATCTGATGAAGCATGAATGTCTACCCTCAGAAGGTTACTAGAGACACACCACGTTGCTTGAGGATGACATGGTTTGGTCCTTTGTGGGCTGCGAGGAAGACAGTTGAGTTGTGCATATGTTAGACCCTTAAAACTGGTGATAGTGTAATTTAGTAAAGCATATTGCTGTGCTTCAAATTCTAAATGTGAAAGTAAATTCATCTAGACAAACAGAGATCTGTTGGAATACGGGTGATGGGAGATATTTTATTCCATTTCTGCCTTGCTTAAAATTTTTTCTGGGGAAACAGTGCTGAAAATGAGGGATATTAGAAGGAAAATGTCACCCTATAAATTATATACTTTTTAATTAAAGAATGTTTATACAGTAAATGAACAGTCTCTAAAACTAGTATCAGAAAAGCTCCATTATGTGTCAGCATCTCTTTGACTCTTCAGGGTTGCTTGCATCCAGAAAATCTTTGGTATGATGTGTAAGTTGTTAACTTCTGTCTTTGCCTGAAGTTTTGGATTGCAGCTTGGGTCAGTTACTGTTTATTTTTTTTGAGCTCAAATTTTATTTAATGTTATATTCTCTCTTTGGTACAATGAGTGGAAGCAGCACGAGCAAGTTAAACATAAAGGTGAAGCTCTAAACTCACAAAGTGTGAACATAACTTCAAGAAGCTTTGTTCCCTGTTAATATTTTCTAGACTGGCTTGGTTCTGTGTTTGTTCTTGTTTTATCCTTTTAACACATGCTGTTGTAATTTAAAGTTATATATATATCTCCTCATTCTTCTGGAAAATTGCCATTTCAGAGATTGGGTCAGAAAGTTCATTTCCTTGACTAATAATAATACTACATTGCCAAAACCTTCTGAAAAGTGTTCAATGGCTTAGTTTGCTTTTAAGGAGGAAGTGTAATATTGTATGTTGTTTTCATACCCACAGAGGGAGACTGCCAGCACAACTACAACAGCAATGTAATAGCAATGTGGTCATAACAGGTAATGTGGATAAGAGCTATGGTGACAAATCTAGAAGGCATGCTTACAGCAAACCTTGTTCTGCCATCCGTGTTAAGGTTTGTACTCCCATAATAGAGTTAAAACAAATTTTTATTTTTCTTGATTAACAGCCCTCCTAGGGTCAGAGTGGAAATACTCAACATGATCATACTTAACATGCTTTTCTGTTTTAAGAAGTAAGAAATTATAAACAACTGTCAGCAACATTTCATACTAGGTACTGTATAATTTGCTGTACGATCAGAAATGCTTTCAAAGAAAAGTAACAAGTGGTGTCCCTCAGGGATTGGTGTTGGGACCGGTCTTATTCAACTTCTTTGTCACTGACATGGACAGTGGGATTGAGTGCGCCCTCAGCAAGTTTGCCGATGACACCAAGCTGTGTGGTTCGGTTGATACCCTGGAGGGAAGGAATGCCATCCAGAGGGACCTTGACAAGCTTGTGAGATGTGCTGATGCCAACCTCATGAAGTTTAACCATGGCAAGTGCAAGGTCCTACACCTGGGTCGGAGCAATCCCAAGCACAGCTACAGGTTGGGTAGTGAAGAGATTCATAGCAGCCCTGCAGAGAAGGACTTGGGGATGTTGGTTGATGAGAAAATGAACATGAGCCAGCTTCAGTGTGCGCTTGCAGCCCAGAAAGCCAACCGTATCCTGGGCTGCATCAAAAGGAGCGTGACCAGCAGGTCAAGGGAGGTGATCCTGCCCCTCTACTCTGCTCTCCTGAGACCTCGCTTGGAGTATTGTGTGCAGTTCTGGTGTCCTCAACATAAAAAGGACATGGAACTGTTGGAACAAGTCCAGAGAAGGGCCACGAGGATGATCAGGGGACTGGAGTACCTCCCGTATGAAGATAGGCTGAGAAAGTTGGGGCTGTTGAGCCTGGAGAAGAGAAGGCTGTGTGGAGACCTCATAGCAGCCTTCCAGTATCTGAAGGGGGCCTGTGAGGATGCTGGGGAGGGACTCTTCATTAGGGACTGTAGTGACAGGACAAGGGGTAACGGGTTAAAACTTAAACAGGGGAAGTTTAGATTGGATATAAGGAAGAAGTTCTTTACTGTGAGGGTGGTGAGGTACTGGAATGGGTTGCCCAGGGAAGTTGTGAATGCTCCATCCCTGGCAGTGTTCAAGGCCAGGTTGGACAGAGCCTTGGGTGGCATGGTTTAGTGTGAGGTGTCCCTGCCCATGGCAGGGGGTTGGAACTAGATGATCTTAAGGTCCTAACTGTAACTATTCTATGATTCTATGATTCTACAAATGAGGGCATACTGATACTCATTGGTACTGATTTCTTCAGGTGTAGGAGATCGGATTTACTCTCTTGTCTGCTTTTGGGAGGCATAAAAGTAGCTTCAGTTTTTTTTACCATTTTCAAATTAACCAAAAAGCCTCCATTTAAAACAAAACACAAATAAACAAAAAATTACGATCACAACTGAAATTTATTGTGTTTTGACTTAGCAACAAGATTGTGTTGTTCTTATTTTCATCTGAATTGCTACCTGGTGGCTACTTAGCATCTTTGAGTTTCTAGACTCAAGTGTGTCACATCTCTCATTAGCAAGTACCTATACATCAGTTATTTCTTTGCAGAATATCTACTTGAAAGATACACTGTGAAGAACAATTGTTAGTACTCCCCTAGAATTTTAGAATAGAAATGCAATCAACCTAAAAATCATACTGAAGAGAATTTATTCCCCCCCCCCCCCCGCCACTTTGCCAGCTTCCTCCTCACAAGTTCTAACAAATCTCTCTTCTAAAAGATGTAGTTCTGCGATAGACCAAAAAAGGAGATGAACTAAAACCGTCTCAATGTCCAAGACCCTTTATTTTAACTTAGCAAGCTACCCTTGCAGTAGTAAGTAGCTTGCTCTGCTGAGGAGAATCAAGGGATTCTTCTGCTACAAACAAGGGCAAGGTCATACACCTGGGTCGGGGCAATCCCAAGCACAACTACATGCTTGGTGGAAAAGGGATTGAGAGCAGCCCTGGGGAGAAAGCCTTGGGGGCATTGGTTGACAAGAAGCTCAGCATGACCTGACAATGTCCACCTGAGGCCTTGAAAGCCAACCATATCCTGGGCTGTATCAAATGAAGTGCGACTCCCAGGTCGAGGGAGGCGAGTCTCCCCCTCTATTCTGCTCATGAGACCCCACCTGTAGTACTGTTATCAGCTTTGAGGCCCCCAGCACAAGAAGGATGTAGACCTGCTTGAGCATGTCCCAGAGGAGGGTCACGAAGATGATCAGGGGGCTGGAGCACCTCTCATGAAGACAGGCTGAGAGAGTTTGGCTTGTTCAACCTGGAGAAGAAAAGGCTCCAGACGTCCTTATAGCAGCCTTCCAGTACCTAAAGGGGCCTACAAGGAAGCTGGAAAGGGACTTTTTACAAAGGCATGTAGTGACAGGACAAGAGAGGATGGCTTAAACTGAAACAGGGTCAATTTAGATTAGATATTGGGAAAGTATTCCTTACTGTAAGGGTGGTGAAACACTGGCACAGGTTGCTCAGAGAAGTTGTGGATGCCCCATTCCTAGAAATTTTCAAGGTTGGATGGAGCTTTGAGCAACGGGGTGTCACTAAACCCCTGCATATGGTGTCCCATACGGTAGTGGGTTGGAACTAGATGAACTTTAAGGTTTAATCTAAATGATTCTATGATTCTATACAAAATGTGTACATTATTCCAGTCTACAGAAAAAAGCTGAATTAAGTAGAATCCCCTAAAATTGATACAGATGGCAGTTGTGATGCTGGGGAAAACCAAAGTTAACAGACTCCACCAAGCAACTAACTTGCTTGCTCTCCCTAAGCAGCAGCTGAATTGCCATGAATTAGATGGACCATTAGTCTGACTCAATGGGGCATTTCTTGTGAGGGCTTGATTTTGTTTGCAACAATTTTCTTTAGAGGCACTTGGGGTTTGCAGTGCTGCACTATAACTTGATATTAATATAAAAGAAACTGACAGGGCTATGCACACAGGTCTTACCTTCTGGGTAAGCCTTCTGTAGTCTGCTGAACCTTTTAGATTTGTCATCTGGGGCTCCAGCAGCGTGAACAGTGGCTTCGTTAGCTGGCCCATGGCAAACCAGTCACAACCCTCTACAAAGTCTGATCTCCAGAAGGGGAGTGTTTGTTCCTGATGAAATTAAGGATTTGGAGAAATGGGAGAGACAGGTTTCCTCTACCCACTAACAAATCCTTCCTGCCAAAAGGTACCAGGCAGGAATTCCTGAACTTGTTACTTGGGCTAATTAATAGGCAGGACTGCAGGCTGAAGGTAACACAACAACTGCAGTCTGCACCACATTATGTGTTGCAGATACGTAACCTGCTATCCCTTGTGTATGTCCCATCAGAATTCAGTGTTGTCACTTATGCTTGAGAGGTACTTAACTCAAGTGAATGGTGATCTAAGGGATGAGTGGAATTCAAAAGTAGTGGTAAGGACCAAGTGAAAGTGGCAGTGGTTAAGTTAACTTTAATGGAATAATGGTTGAAAAGATACTTCTGTATTACATGCCGCTCACAGGCTGCCATAGAGAAACGTGATGAAGACAGAGGATGTGAGAGAAGGCACCAGCACTCACCGGGCCAGGCAGGACTTAACACCCCCTTCTTGTAGGCCAGGAAGAGACGTTTCTGTCCGGAAGCAGACGGCTGCGGGTTTCGACTGCCGTGGAGCAAGGAGACCCCAGGGACTCAACCGGGGCGAGTTACTACCTGCCCCTGCGATTCCCTCGTCCTGCCCCGCCACGGCCGCTCCGGGCCGCGCGCAAGCTCAGCTTGGCGGCGGAGGACGGAGGGGGCCGTGACGCCAGGCGCAGAAGGGGCGAGGCGGGGCGGGGCGGTACCAAGCACTTCCACCTCGGTAGAGCCGGCCGCGAAGGATCCAGCGGCACTACGGCCGCGCAGTTACTTCCGCCTCGGTAGGTGGCATGGCGGCGGGGCGGGCACCTCACGTGACGACTCCGTGCGAAGAGCGGTCTCGCACGCAGCTCTCGCGGTGCTTCGTCCCCCTCCCTTCCCCCCGCCCGCGTCCCCCTCTCGCCCTGGCCGCTCGCGCAGCTGCTCAGCTCTCGCTATATAAAGGGGCGAAGCGGGCAGAGCGGGCGGCTGGCGGCGGCGGCTGCAGCCCCAGAGCCGGCGGGAGAGGCCGGGCCAGGCCGCGGGGCAGCCCGTGAGCCGGGGACGCGCGGGATCTAGGGGGGGACGCAGCCAGGCAGGTTTATTGTTTTAGGGGCGACTCCCCCCCCGCGTTTGGGGGCGTCCCGGGGGGCTCGGGACATGGCGAGCTCGACTAACACAAACCCCGTGGTAAGGACCGGGTCGGGGGGCGAGGGGGGCCCCGGGGGCAGCGCGGGCGGAGGTGGCCGGTGTGGCCCGCCGGGCCCGCCGCCCCCCTCCCCCGCACTCCCTTCCCTCCCGCCGCCCGCCCGCCTCGAGCGGTCCCGACCCCTGGCGGGAAGGGGCCTCGACCCCGAGGCGGCGATACAACTTGTGGCGCCCGGCGCCAGCCGCTTCGGCGGAAGGGAGAAAGCGGAGCCGGGGGTGGCGGGCTAGGGGCGGTGGGGGCGCGGGGCGGGGGCTCGGAGGCGGCAGGGCGGCCCCGTGGGGGAGGCCAGGGTCGGGCCGCCGCCCGCGGGCCGGGGGTCTGGTGGGGAGGGGAAGGGCAGGGCGGGGGGCGCCGGCGCTGCCGCCGGAGGGAGCCGCCAGGGGAAGGGGCGAGAGCCGGAGCGGGTGGCGGGAGCGCGGTCGCTGCCGCCCGGTCCGCCGCTGTCCCGAGGCGAAGGGAAGGGGCGCCCAAGCCAGGTTTCGGTTTTGTGGTGTCTGTGAAGCCCGCCCGGGCTCCGCTGGTGCCATTTTATGTTGCTTTGTAAGAAGGAGACGATGGTTGTAAAGCACTTATCCCACCCCAGCCGGATCGAAAGCCCTCAACTTCCCTCCGTCGAGGAGCGAGGCAGTATTTATTTAAAAAAAAAAAAAAAAAAAGAAAAAAAATCCCCTTTCCCCGTTCCCTTCTCGTGCTTTCTGCACCGTGGCGGGTGGCTCGCTGCTGCACTTGTGCTCACGGAGGTTTGCAACAAGCAGTCACACAGCCCTGCGCGGGCTCCGGCCACGGCCGCCGCGCTCTGCTCCCCCTGGCGCGCCCCCGGCCGCGACCCCCGCCCCGAAGCGCTGGAGGAGACAAACCCGGCGTCCTGGTGGCGGGCTCGGCCCCCTTGTCTGTGGCTCTCAGATCCATCATGGCTTCCCCCTGCTTTCCTGCCTCCCTGCTCCTTGTGTTCCTCCTCCCTGTGGCTGCCCTGTTTATATAGAGCTTTGCCGCTCTCTAATATAGACTCTGCTCGGATGGGAAGGTGCTTTCCAGCCCCACGTCACCGCCTCTCCATTTAAACACCACATCAGCCTTTAAATAGGGAGCGAACCGCGGAGCGCGGGTTGGGAGGTGCATGAGTCTGCGGCGGAGGCTGGGGGACGGGCGCCCGGTCCCTCGCATCCCAGCCGGGCTCTCGCCGGGTTTCCCTTCCGTCTGAGCCACCCGTCCCCGTCGCCACCGGCTTGAGGAGCGGTGATGTCGGCCCCGGCCGGTGTAAATGGGCCTTTCTTTGCTTTATGCATTGCACAAAGACAGTTTTCACCCTCTCGTGCATTTGAAACAGTTTGCCTTTTTTACGTCTTTTTCCTTTTTTTTGTGCTTGTTTCTATTTTTTTGCTCTTTGTCCGCAGCATATTGCTAGCGCACATGGCAGTGCCCCCATAAGCTGTTAGAAGTATTTTTTTTTTTTTTTTCTGGGTGGGAAAAAGATTTTAAACGGTCCTTACTCAGCGCATCAAGGAGAGATGTGGTCCTTACTTTATGGCGCTTTGCCAAGGTCTGACTACAGTTGTTGCCCTACAAGTAATATTTAATATTAAAGTTCAGTCTGTGGGTCAAGGGCCGCAGATAGTACTCAATGATTTCTGTGCATTTCTGGTGACTAAAGCATACAAATATTTTTAATTACAGTCCAGGCAGGGCAAGGGTTTTAGAATTTTCACTAGTATTTCGTTTACCTGCAATATTTGGTATTCTGCAAAACAGTATACAAAAAAGAATGGAAAGCAGCATAGTTTTCCTTTCCAAATCTGAAATTTTAGAGACTTGCCTGTGAGTTAGGGTCATGCGATTGCAAAGTAGCAGCACTGCTTTGCTACTTCATCATGTTTTTTATCAGGACATGTTAGGGAAGTAGTCAGCCATTATGCAAGACAGTTACTCAGTAGGATGCATGTTGAATGTGTGCGATCTGAATCTGTTAGATGTCCTTTTGTTATAAATCTGTTTTTTTTTTATTACAAGAAAAGGATCTATTTTCATACACTAAATTGAAGGGCTTGCTTTTTTTTTTTTTTGGCCAAGTTAGTACAAAATACATATCTTGAATAATCTACAGAGTATTGTAAATGTCTTTGATTCAGCAATTTACTAGGATTTGCTTTCTCTTGGCTGTATTTCTATGCTGTCATAACTTCTGTAAAGTTCTCTTGAAAGGTGTCTGAGCATTGAGTTTGGAATAGCAAAATCCAAGCTTAAACCAAACGTGCTTCAAATAGTAGGTATGCGTTAGTTCGATTTTGAATTAAGTAGTAAAACTATGCAGTTGTGTGTGGTCAGCTTTGTCACATTCAAGTTTCATTCCATAGCAAGGATCACAGTGCTTACCTTAGGGTTACCAAAGATGAATAGGAACATTTTGAAATACTGCAACCAGGTGATAACTTTAGGAAGCTAGACTTTGAGCCTAATGTGGCAACAGTACCATGTCAGCATCTGATCAAGTCTGAATTGCTAGAAATCTGTATTTCCTAATAAAGGACAAATACAAGATGTTAAGTTATATTCAGGATAACATTCTGTGACAAAGGTAATTAACTTGTGAAAGTTCATGGCAAGATATAAATATTTTGATGCTTACAGTCTTATTATGCACATCTTTGATGTAATTGTGACTAAAACTTTACAGTGCTCCTCGAACAGGCTAATTTCCATCTGTAACTGCACAGACAGGAGAATGATTAGCAGTATTTCGGGGATAACTGCAGAAGCAACCAGAGACAAACTACCGTCAAGTACACAAAGCATGCCATGGTACATCTCTCCATAATGTGTTGGTTATTGCCGAAATCCCAAGTGTTGTGATAATAATTACAAAGAGATGCAGTTTTTGTAGTCTTGAACTGGAGGAATGTAGGAAGTGTAAGCTCCCAAAGGCATGTGGCATTTCTTAAAATAGCATGCTGGTTGCTTCTTGGATTTGTAGCCTGTGTGTATGTAGCAGTCTCACCATACTCGGCATTTTCTTTACAAGATACACAGAGAAAGTGAAATATAATCATTTCCTTATGTTCCCGGAGGGGGAAGTACTAGATTTCAGATCTTTTCTATGTGTTTGTGGTTGTATCTAATAAATCAGGAATTTTAATTGTTGTCTTTAATCTATAGTAAGTGTTTGGAATAGTGTTTATTGAAGAGTGATTTGAGTATTTTGCTCTTAAAAGAGCTTGAAATTTACAGCCATGTACTTTTTATGAGGGAGGCACTTTATAAACCAGATGAAAGCATGATTATTTTAATAGCAATCTTTAAAGTTTCCATTACGTTCTCATTGCTTTCGCTGGCTGAATGCAGAAATTTATTGGAAAGCTTAACTCACCTGCTGTCCCATCTTCAGACCTGTTCAGTAATTGTGTTACCATGTTTATTTTTTTGAGTAAGCAATATATGAAAATAATTTTGTCATTCAACTGGTTTGTATAAACAGCTTGAACAGCATATAAATAATGCTTAAAGCCAACATTTAGTGCATATCTAAAACCGTACAGTGTGCTTCCTTTTCAAGACCGGGGCTCAAGGCTGTTTTGTAATGTTACTGGATTCACCTCTGTTGAAGTAGGAAAAGAGCATCCTGTGATATTTTTCAAAATTCCACTATGGATGGCTCTTGAAGGCATTGCTGCTCCCTCTGTGAAAGGTGGTGCATCTACCTGGGCTGGATGTTCAGTAGGACTGCACACAAGGGAATATTTTCAACCAAACAGGATTTTTCTGAGTATTGTGTAAACATGTATAGGTAAAATCGGACAGACACTGTTTAATTTTAAGTGTGCAGATGTTTTCTTCTCTGTTCCCTCCTTTCTAAGTATACAGCCATGACTGTATCGTATATTGGGATACTGTGTGATTAGAACAGCATCCAAAAATTCTGACCCATCTTTATATCCAGTGCAGTGTGTGGCTCATGTGGAGAGACACATGCATGTGCAAACTGCTGGTGGGTTTGTTAAGCACTGCACTAGGGTCACTGCACCCGAGGTGCTGTGGTCTTTTGTGGGGCTTAGCTGCTTGCTCGGGCTGTTGGAAGTTGTGCAAAAGGATGCTGTGTCAATGGCAGAATGAACATCTATGCTCTTAACCTGTCTTTCTGCTCTCTTGCTACACTAATGCTGGACACCAGGAACCAGCATCCAGCTGCTTAAATTTGTTTGTTTGTTGTTTTTTTTTTTTTCCTGACTAAGCAGAAAAAGAAGGAAACATTCCCAAGCAGACTGTTGGACTGTAGGGTCAGTTTGTTTTACAAATATCAACATGAATGTTGCATTTTTTCCTATGACTTTATAGACTGAGGAGGCTTTGTAATGAATAAGCATTACAAGAATGCCTGACTATGGAGACAGGAGAAGGTAACTGCTGGGGGAAATTCTTAGAGTTTGCTTGTGTAAAATCTGCTTTGTTAGGAAAGTGGACCTAATAGAGGATTTAAAGAAAGGAAGATTGAAGGAGAAAGTGCAGTCTCCATCTTGCAGGAATTTTGATCGTAATTTCAGACATGCAGGTAGTTCTCTTGACTGAAGTAAAGCAGATCACATGCCAGAGGTTAAGCATGTTTATTTGCAGAATGTGGTTTTGGCATTAAGCAGCAGATGCTTTTGATACAATAAGGAACAATATATGGAATAGGTTAAGTAGCATTTCTGTGCTAGTTGAATCGTTTAAGCTTTATGTGATTTGTTTCATTATATAAATAATAGGACTTAATATCATTAAGTAAAATGGCTTTTTGCATCTGCTATGAATTAAATCCAAGCAGAAAAATAATCTTGTTAATGATGCTTGGTATTTTTAAGTGACTATGTAGATTTAAAATGATAGCACTTAAATAGGCTTTAAAAGTCTATTTTAAATGTCTCTGTAAACATAATTAATTCTGTACTTGAAGCCTGGATAACATGAGCATGCTGCATTGTTTTGAAACAGAAAAGTATGCAAGTAGTCTGGCACGTTTTGTTTCTTTTGAAGAAGTTTTGAACGTAGGTGCTGTAAGCGTAGTTTTCAAAGATGGCAGACCTACTGTTGCTTAGGGCTAGAATTTTTTGTGAGACAAGTTACAAAAGGATGAATTCTAACGCTTCAGTTACTTGATTTTGCAGCAGCATGTTTTAAAGCTGAAAAGTGGCAAACTGATGAAATATAAAATGAAGGAAAAAAAAATAGGTTGCTGATAGCATGTCACTTGCCAAAATACTGATGTGGGATCAGTAACACAGAGTGGCTTGTTACTGGTTGTTTATTATTACTGTTTTGTTTTTTTTTTCCTCATTGGGCTTTTGTTGTTGTTTGTTGTTAATATTTGTTTGGGTTTTTTTTAAGAAAAGTCACTTGACTATGTCCCAGTTCGAGTTTGTTTTAAATTCTAAGGACATAATGCACTGTGCAGCCATCAGACTGCCTAGTTGTTAGTTCCAGGCTTCCAAATAGGTTAATTTCTCCCCATCTAATATCAGTGCATTCCTTTATGTTGTTTTGTTATTGTTGTGGTGGGACTTTTTTTTGTGTTTTTTTGTGGTTTGTTTTTTTTTTTTTTTACCGTTGTAACGCAAAGATACTCACCTTTTTTTTGTGCTTATTGGCCACTCAGCTTTTTCCCAGACTAGTACATCATGTGATGTTATTCCCCCTCCATTATTCCATAACATAGGCATAACAATTTCCCTAACGTGCAGTATAATCTTTAGAATATATGTAGCAAATTCAACACTTCTGGGAGGCATCAGGCAACTGTGTATGCATAAAATACATGTTTCAAGTGTGTGCAGTAGATCTGCATGGTTCCAGCACTGCTGTAGTTCCAGTATGTACTTCGTGGAGGGTTTCTATGTGTGTATTTGAGTCATAGCCCTCCTGGGGTGTCAAACCTACTGCACAAGCACAGAGTGATTGTTTTGCATGTAGACAACATATCTTGTGTGTGGCATCATTTGGGATTTATTCCCTAAGGAAGTTATGGAACTTTATAGAGGAAGAGATCAGCTTACAGAAAGTTGTAGCTACTTTCAGATGAGCTTAAAAATGGCCTAGCCCCATCCCAAGCAACGGTGTTGGTCAGTGACATATATATGGTTCATAGGCTGCAGATTCATCAACCCTAATTTAGAGCTTATAGTGCTGCCTTGCAGTTAAATAGCATGAATATTTAAACCCAACCAAAATACTGTTGAGGTTCACATGCATGAGAGAGGTCCAAGCCGTACTGTTTAAAAGGTACAGAACGTGTATAGTACTATTATCTTCTGGTCCTGTGAATAAAATTTTGTGCTTTAACTGATCAGGTTAAGTATGTATACGCTCTTCTTAAAAATATACCTGCATTTTAAAATTCATAGAATGGCTGAGGTTGGAAGGGACCTCTGGATGTCATCTTGCAACACCTGTACATAAGCAGGGCCACCTAGAGTTGGTTGCCCACAGCCATGTCCAGTTGGCTTTTGAGTATCTTTAGGAGTGGAAACTCCACAATTTTTCTTGGCAACCTTAAGTGAATTGAGAATTCAATTCACCATTGACAGTGTAGGCCTAAAATCCGCATAATAGCCTAGTCTCTCTGAAAAGTTTCTAATGTAAAAATGTAAGTACTGATGGGAAACAGAAGTCTGTCTAGCCCTATATAGTTTCTTCAGTAGTTTAGTAAACAGATGCCAAAGTAAGAATAGGAGATTCACATGAATACATCCAGGTTTTTGAGCCATCAGTGTTTTTCAGCTTGAGATCGTTCTGAGCCATATATAGTTCCTGTTGAGCTAGCAAGCACTAACAACTTTCTTTTGTCTGTATTTGTCTAATATCCTTTTGAATTTTTAACATTTCTTGAGGTTAATATTTTGCACACATGCAAATATTTTTGAATATTCAGTATATACATTGGTGAGCAGGTAAGAAATTGGATGGAAAATAATCTCCTTTTCTCTGTTTTGAGTTACGCTCCTCAGGGCTTGAAAACTCATGCTGTAGTTATGTCACAAAAGGTAGCAAATGTTCCCTTACCTTTTCACCTCATTTGAGCTATTCTTGCTGATTTATGCCTCCTTGGATATTTTAGTTACTCAGAAACATGCAGTCTATTTTGCAGTAGAGTTTTCAGAGGTTTTTTTTTTGACAGGGGCAATCTTATTTCAATGTTACAGTGATAAGTTTCTTTCAAAACAATTCTGATCAGTTACTTTTTTTTTAAGCCTAAATTGTACAGGTCTGTAATTGAAGACGTCATCAATGATGTCAGAGAAGTTTTCCTGGATGAAGGAGTGGATGAGCAAGTTCTTATGGAACTCAAAACAGTAAGTTGCAACTTAAAAGTTTTTTTAATAGACGGATGCAGCAGTTGTTTTTTTTTGCTCTGCTACTGTTGTACGCAGTAAAAATACTAATTTTTAGTTAGTGAAGCATTGCATTAATCTGCATATCTGTAGCCCTGTATAATTTGAACTACACTGCTGTATAGAGAGATCTGCTCACCTTGTTTATTTTCTCTGTCATGTTGAACTTTAGATACAAACTAAGAGCAGGCATCCAAATTCAGTGGGTTTTGTGTCCCCAAAATGTTGTATCTTAGAAAAAAAAAAAAAAAAGAGGGGAGGGGCAGAGGATATGTGTTATTTTTGAGGCAGACAATTCTTAAGGTTTCTCTGCAGGAAAAATAAAACGCCTGCTCTGCTTGAGGTTTTTGTATTTCTGAAGAAAGACATTGTCAGATTTTTGCATGTATGGTTTGTGGCTTGCTGAAGTGTTGTTTCTGGAGGGTGGTACATAATAAATTACACTGTGTATGTCATGCTTTTCCAAAAATCCCAGGTTCAGAATTGTTTTGCATACAGTGGGTTTGAGCTGTTATCAAGGATTTCAAAGAAAGGGAGGATGTTGAACTGAGCTCTAATGGGTCTACTATGGCTTTCTTCATGTTCTTCCTGAGTTCTTCAAAAGGCAAGAGAAAAGGAAGAAAAAAAGAAAAGGGGAAGAAATAAAGTGAAAGGAAGCTGGGAAATTGGGTGCCCACTTATCTCAGTTGTTGAATAAGGACTTCGTCAGAAAGCAGGACATCCTGTGCTCTCAGTATTTTTGAGCTATTAAAAAATGGATGGAGTGGGAAAGGAATGTTGAGTTTGACTAGACAGAAACAGGTAAAGAATTTTTCCATGAAACCATGATCTTGCTTTGGTGATAATGAAGTGAGCACTCTAAGAAAAGCATTGTGGTGTCTGTGTCACAGACGTATTCTGCAAATGATGTTAGAACAGGTTGAATGAGGGAAGAGCCGAGAAGAAAAGAGTTTATTGAAGAGGAAGGCTTAGGGAGCTGTCCTGGGTTCAGCAGTAGCAGTCATTTTTCTCCTTCTTAGTAGCTGGTGCAGTGCTGTGTTTTTGACTTTCAGCCTAGGAACAACACTGATGTTTTTAGTTCTTGCTAAGTAATATTTACGCTGACCAAGGACTTTCTGGGTCTCATGCTCTGCCAGGGAGGAGCAGAAGTTGGGAGGAAGCAGAGGCAGGACACCTCACCCAAACCAGCCAAAGGGATATTCCATACCACAGCATGTCATGCCCAGTATATAAATTGGTGGCAGGGCTAGATCACTGCTTGGGTCAGGCTGGGTATCGGTTGGCAGGTGGTAAATGGTTGTATTCTCTCCCCTTGTTATTTCCTTTATCATTATTGATGGTATCAGTAGTAGTTTTGTGTTATACCTTAGTTATTGATCAACCCGTGGGAGTTAAATTCTTTTGATTCTCCTCGCCATCCCTGCAGGAGCAGCAGGAGGAAGAAGCTGGGGGGAGTGAGTGAGAGGCTGCACAGTTCTGAGTTACCAGCTGGACTTAAACCATGGCAGGAGCCCTATTTGTAGTCTTTTTGTTGTATTACGGGATACTTGTGTTGCTGTCTGTACAGAGCTGCTTTTCTTCGAAGACATGTCAGCTGAGGTCAAGAACTGAAGGGCTGGAGAAGCTGAATTTGGTATTGTGATAGAAACTACATAAATGCTTATACAGAGGTATTATCTTAGGAATACTGTTAGTTTCTGTTGAATTTTGTTGTAAGGCAATAGTGTTTGAGCAGCTTTTATTGAGGAGTTCCAAGAAGAAATGGCTTGAGGAAAGAATAAGAACATAAAGAATTGTTTTTGTGATTTAAGAGGTAAGAAAGGGAGAAGGTAGAGAAATGAAAACTTGAAGGCTACTTTAAAATTACCAGTCTTTCTCTATTCATGCTTCAGTTAGGGCTATTACAAATCTTCCACAGTTGGGTAAATTAAGAATGTTAAAACTTAAGCTTGGACTGACAATTCTTATGGGATATTTAGTTCCTCTTCTTAAAACATTACCTGTCTGGAGTTTTTTCTCCAGTCTGTATTTTCGTGAAGGCTTTTTGGGCTAAGTAGGCAGCACAAGATAAACTGTGAAAATTCAGTTTTGGAATACTGTTTTTATATTGTTAAAAATCCTGTTGAGTAAAAATGGTACATGGAGATTTCTCTTTCCTTTTCCAAACTAGCTGTGGGAGAACAAATTGATGCAGTCCAAGGCTGTAGATGGCTTCCATTCAGAAGAACAGCAACTTCTGTTGCAGGTGCAACAACAGCAACAGCAGCAGCAACAGCAGCATCATCACCACCATCATCACACACAACCTCAGCCACAGCAGACTGTGCAGCAGCAGTCTCAGCCGCAACAGGTCCTTATTCCAGCATCTCAGCAAGGTCAGACTTTTCTCTAACCTCTCTGGCAAAAGGCTCTAAAGTTAGACCAACTCCTTAGTATGTTCTAAATCTAGGGCAGCATGTTTATCTGATGGATGACTTTTGTGTTTTGACGTTAACTTTGTCTCTACTTGTGTCTACTTAGTGGATCAAGAGAGCTGGCTTGGTGATAACAACTTGGTATTTGTGTTAGCCATATTCTTCAGAAGATTTTGGAAAAGTGAAATTTTTTTTTCGATCTTCTACTATGTCAGTTATGTTCTCAGAGCACATGACTTCCAGATTTTGTCAAAGATTCGTTAGCAGCTCTGTAATTTCAAGCTGGTACACATATGCAGTTGACAATTTAGTCCTGAGGTATTAGTGTGATTAGGAGCAAATTAGTTTAAAACCCCCATATTGTTTAGTGTAAGTGGATGCTGGGATGTGAAAAATACTTGTATAAGAGTCTGTTCGGAAGATGTTTTTTCCTGCTAGAATAAGTTTCGAGTAAAAAGCATAATGGCTGGGTGGTTTTGTGGTCTTGGAAGATTGTGTACTGTGTAAGTATATTTTAGCTAGTCATTAACCGTTTCTTACAATCATTGCCTTGTGTATTCTCCATTAGTTTAATGGAGACATTAATTTAAGGGAAACTTTTTTGCCAATTACAATTTCATTTGAAAACTAAGATAAATACTGCTGGATTTTACTGTGTATATGCTGTGTAAACAAATCTGCCGCCTGCAAAATGCTTGAATTGAGTTTTCAGTGTGCTACTAAAATTGTGGCATAAAATATTTGTCTGTGGTAGTCACAGACTTCAGTCATTTTATCAGATTTCATAGATCAGGACCTCTGCTGTTATAGGTACAAAAGACAGCTATGAGGTGGTTCCTCAGATGTCTCTCTCTACCCCCAAACCCAACCACTGTATATTCAAAAGGGACAAGAACTAGTGTGACAAGAACCTGTTGTTGGGGTGGTTTTTTTTTTGGTTGGTTGGTTGTTTTTTTGTTTGGTTGTTTTTTTTGTTTGGTTGTTTTTTTGTTTGGTGCTTGGGTTGTTTGGGTGTTTTTCCTTTTCTACCTTTCTTACAGTACTTTGTATTTTGGCTGGACATATCTCAGTTTCAACTAATTTTGAGGTAAAGAGCCGTAAATACACGTGGCTTCAAATAATCCGAGTGTTTTGGTTTAAATTACAGTCAGCAGAACTGGGAAAGTTGCTCACCAAGACCTCTAGTGGCGCCTTAGTGGAACAGCTGTGATTTTGCTAATAGGGAGATCCATGTCTTGCCGTGTGTCTTAGGGTAGAAAAGATCCTGCCTGTAGTAGTACGCTTAAAACTGATTTATTGTTGCTCCATGCTGTGGCTTGTAACCAAATGACAGTGTGGAGGCTAAAGGCTAAATGAAATTAGAATATCAAAACCCTTTGATCACAGACATGCAGTTTTCTGAATTACTTGACTTCTCTGTTCCATGGGGGAGATGGTGTAGTAGTTCTTTGCATGACCTGTTGCAGTCCCAGAGAGAGATCAGGACAATTGGCAAGGTGATTCCTGTTGTCCTGTGTGTGGTCTTGGCACAGGATCACAAGATGTCCTGGGGCTCTTTTGCCCTCCCTGGATTTTCTGAAAGTTGGAGAGATGGCCTCAGGTCTTGGTGCAGGGTTGTGGGCCTTCCCTCCCCCAAATCTGTTCCAGAAATTCAGTATTTTTAAGTGTCCTTGCTTTATAGGATTGGATGGAGAATACCTTGTTGATGATCAGTTTGTTAAAATTGTTCTGTCATTTTCCAGTTTGCTGCCACTGTATTAGCACTGGTAACCTGCTTGTTCCACATACTAGGATGCTTTTGCACTTCTAGGTTATCAGCAGGTTATTTGTATAGTTAAGCTATTTAGTTCATTTAGTCCTTAAAAACTATTTTGTATTTTTTCTGGGTGGGACAGGTGGTTGATTATACTTCATCTGCTTCTGCTGCATTAGGAAGACTATTAAGATCATAAGATTATGCTGATTAGATGTAACTCAGGCTAACTGCTGCATTCTGTTAACATATTCTTCATCTTGCTTAAGTCAATTTTAAGAATTAGTCACTGTGAATCGATGCTTTTGGAGAACTCTGATACTGGATGTCTGCAAGTTTATCAACATTCCACTTATACCTTTAATTTCAGAAATATATTTTATATATTGCTTTACTTGGGGTTTGAATAGGTAACTGAAGCCCTTGAAATAAAATCTGTGAAGGCAGAATAGCCAGCTTCTCAGAGCTGCTGCTGTATACTGTCTTCAGAGTAAAACTTAGTAATGTCCTGCTATGCTTCCTTGTGCACAATGCTGCCTTAATTGTATGAAGGGACAGTGGGTTCTGCATGCAGCAGCCCCTTCTCCCACACACAGTACTGCTCATTCCTCCAGAGCAAGGACTTCTGAGCCATAATGTGTGTTTAAATATGTAGCCAGTCTGTTAAATGTCTCAAGTGCCTTATTCCTAGATGTTTCTTGAACTGTTGTTCATTTGGAATATATTTTTCTAGAGTAGTTCATGGTGATGCTTATGTCAACTTGATGTGGATGCTCTCTTCAGACTAGACCAATACGTAGAGTAGGGCAGTTATCCTTATCTGCTCTCGGTGTCTTCCCTAGTTGAAGTTACCAAAAGTTTTCTAAAGTTTAGATTACATATAAAGAAGAAGTTCATTACTGTGAGGGTGATGAGGCACTGGAATGGATTGCCCAAGGAAGCTGTGAATGCTCCATCTCTCGGCATTCAAAGCCAGGTTGGACAGAGCCTTGGGTGGCATGTGGGGTGTCCCTGCCTATGGCAGGGGGATTAGAACAAGATGGTCTTAAGGTCCTTTCCAACCCTAACTATTCTGTTATTCTATTAAGAGCAGAGACTGCTCAGTAGCTGTTTGTGTTACAAAGCTTGGCTTATGTATGGGTGGTATTTTTTCTAAGTTATTCTGGCTTTGATGTTATTTTGGACAGACTACACAGTTTTCATGAAATGCTATTTTTTTTTTTTTTTTTTTCTAGCAGCTCAGCAGCAAGTTATCGTGCCAGATTCCAAGCTTATACCGCACATGAATGCGTCAGGCATGGTAAGAAAAGCAGAAGTTTATATGCGCATACACTGTCATTATGTAAGTTGTTTTGATTAAATAGTAAACAAGAAGTCTGGTATTAGTCATCAGTGCTTAGAAGTAATTTAGGCCACACTTACATAGCTGCCTGCCGTCTTTCTGAGTTTTACTGCTGCACTGACAATCCAGGAACAATAACCTAGGTCTTCAGCTTTGATAACAAATCTAGGAGTTACCTTGACTTTCTGCTTTAAATGTGCTTAACATGTTTTTTGTTTAAACATAATTTGGAGTACTGTGGGTATGAATCTGCATGATGATGTGCTCGTCATCTACCAACACAACACTATTAACTAGCGCAAGTATACAGTATTGGCTAGATGTAGGAAGAATCATTAACTACTCTGAAACATAATCTTGTATCAAATTAGAGATTATTTAGCAATTCACATCAATCTTGTCATGTTAATTTGATTCACTAATTTTTATAGTAGCATATGAAATGGTATCATCATTCATCCCTTTCTTGCAGTTTCTATCTCTAGAGGTTTATTTTGGTTATCTTCTCCTGCTTTAAATGCCCTGGCTTAATTAAAAAAATTGTTTGCAAAGTGATGAAGGCAACAGCTAATACAAGTTAAATATGTGTATTAAGACTGGAATTCTTACATTATATTCTTACTACTTTCATGGTAAAAGCACATGAAACTTTGTTTCATGATTAGTCAAAGCTGCAACAGGTTGCTTAGCTTCACTTCTCCTTTACCTGCTGACCTTACTATAGAAAAGAACCTGAACTTTGTTACTTGTGTAGCATGATTTAACCCAGAGCCTGTGAGCACATTAACATCTACCTTTTCCTTACATGTTTTACAGTCATTTCAATGTGATTTGTAACTTCCCAAGTTCAACAGTTAAACGTCTTATTCAGTTAGATCTTACTGATGGGCATTGGAAAAATGAGTATGCCGTATTTTAAAACTCTGCTGCTGTCAAAATGTAGATGAATTGTATACCACAGAAGACTACTGTTCAGTAAATAATTACACGATCAATTTGGAATTATTATGTGTGGTTTTTTAGGAAACATTTAAGATGGTATTAAAGAATGGATCTGACAGACCTTGAATATTATGGAAGACAGAGAGTATTGAGAGTTTATTCATCTGCCTTTGTCTAGGACATGAGGATGTGGACAAGCGCTTTTCAGTTTGTTTGGCGATCTCAGCTTTTGGCAGTTGTAACTATTGTGTTAACCAGCCAATACAGGAAGTTCATATGTCTTATAAACAGGAAGTGTGTACTCTGTAATAAAATATTTACATCCTTTCCGTAGCAAAGAGGGAGCAGCCCTGGTTCCTTTATAGTAGGGAAAGGGAGGCTTTTTGATAGGCAGCTGAAGTTAGACCCTTGAAATGGAGAAGTCTGTCTTGCTCTGTGAGTTAAGGACTTAATGCACATTTTTGTGTTTGGAGCTCCCATAATTGTGTTGGTATTCAGTTTCCTTTTAAGTTCAAATTGCTACCCACTGAGAGTCTTCAGCTTCTAACTAGCTGTCTTCAGAGCAAAAAAATAGTCATTCTGTGAACAGTCAGTACACTGTATGCAAATATTCAGTCAAAAGAGCTGTGTTATGGGGTACGTGAAATGCAGATCATTTACAGAATGAAGAGTGCAAGCCTGATTACTGCTCCATGTGAAAACAAGATGGGAACATGATCACTGCTTCAGTACTGTATGTTTTTTCAGATTTGTAGGCATACCTTTAGCTGCTTTGCAAAAGTGTAAGTAAAATTGCCACGAGCAGTGCAGTGTTGTACTCTGTTAGAGTACTTGGCAGAGGAGGAAAAAAATCTGAGCTTGCAGATAAAGCAAGAAACCACGTGGACCTACGTTAAGGTGTTATGCCTTGTGATTGCTACTTCAGTCTTCCTATTAAGGAAGAAAGCAAATAATTTTTATACGTAGTGCAATGTAGAGTTGATTAATGCCTGCATTACAGTAGCTGCAGAAACTTGCGTGCAAACACTGTAAACGGCACTAAAAACGTATGTCTTTTCGGGCAGCATGTAGTGAGATGGAGCACCGGCAATAATGTCTGTGGTTAAAAAGCTGTTCTTACATTACAGAGTGCTGCAGCCACTGCGGCTACATTGGCTCTCCCTGCTGGTGTTACTCCTGTTCAGCAGATACTTACAAATTCAGGTAACTGTTGTAACATTCAGATCAATGGTTTTGAGGGTGCTTGGGAGGGAAAAATTAGGTTTTACTCCCTGTTATATATTGATAAAGCAAAACCTGGGAATCCACGCTTAGAAGGCAGTGCAGTCTCTCCACTAGAGTTTTGGACTCTTTAGTTCATTGACTTGGTAGACTTAACGAACCTTGTGGTTCTGACCTAACTGTGGTCTGGGTTAGATTTTGTGCAAGTTTTCCCTGCTTTTTAGAGAGGTGCATGAAGCGAGAAGGCAGGCAAGGGTGATTCATCTAGTCTGCTCAGAATCACCTGGGGCTTAACCTCCCTGCTTTAAACATTTGAATGTTTAATGTATATACAGTTGAAATAAAATCTATATGCATAGCTGTTCTAGAAACCAGTATCTTTTCAATTTTTCAGGAAGCATGTCTGTGTCATAGCATAGAATAATCTGTGGCTCTCATTTGTTACTTTTGTTATGGTCATAATTTTTTTTCATCAGTTACAAATATTTATTGTTCGTTTTCTTAAATAAGGGACTAGGGTAGACTCTTCTTTCAGATATACTTAGTTATTTCAGTAAATAGGGCTTGGCATTTTGCTGTGGAGGGAGAACAAGAACTAAAATTGGTCTTTGAAGGAAATGTGTGAAATTCAGGATTATTTAATTTAATTTCTTCTCCCACATCTTTCTGATCAGAAGTGTGAAAAACTAATGTTGAAATATATCTTAGCGCTTCCTTTTCAGACGTGGAAGTCATTTCCAAAGGCATCTGAGTCTTAGATGCGTTCTGTGAAATGAGGAAAGTTATAATGATAAATCTATAGGATAATAAAATGGAGTGCAGATGTTATGGGAACAGAAAGGTGAGTTGGATAGTAGCTGTAGGGATAGATTTTTCAAAAAGGCAACTGCATAATAATATTGCAAAGAAAATTATGCATGGAGGAATTTCTTGTAATTGATAATTAGAGGAAAAAATGTGAGGAAAGGAAATAATCTGACAGGACCCTGGAAATATGACAGCTTCAGCAGTGGATAGAGGCTTTGTGGTGTGAATACCTGTATTCTTATTTTGGTATATGTTAATTTGTATTTCTGTCTGTAAAATCATGTTTTGAAACATTAATGTTCAGAAGTGGGAGCTAATATTTAAAGTACTGTGCTGTGTTAAAGGATTAGATTTTGGCTTGCATATATGAACTTATTTTTGGATTGCATACCTCATGATCCTATTCAGATGATAAACAGCTGTATTTTTTCAGACACAGCTGCTGCAGCATAGTATCTTTTCACTGATGAAAGTGAAATGTAAATACTCTCCTTTATCATTGCTGTTCTTCCAGGAAACAAGCTTCTAAATTATGATCATTCTAAAAGTGATTTCTACAGTTGATTAGTTTGACATTTATTTTATTACAGGCCAGATCCTCCAAGTAGTTAGAACTGCAAATGGAGCTCAGTATATCATTCAACCACAGCAGCCAGTTGTTCTACAGCAGCAGGTCATACCACAAATGCAGCCTGGTGGAGTACAAGCACCTGTTATACAGCAGGTAAAAAAAAAAAAATTCAGTAGGTACACTTGAAAGAAAAAACATTGCAGTAATTACTAGAGGGTTGCATTTTTATGAGCAAATTGTAATAGAACACAAAGAAAGGGTGTATTTAACAAGAGAAAAAGAGAATTGTGCTAAGAAGTGTTTTTAAAAAATGCACAGTTTTGAAGTGGTGTTTTCAATGTCACTTTTATTCTTGTCAAATTCTGACTGGCTGCAGTTTAAAATTTCTTTTGTTTATCCCCTGATGACAACTATATCATAATCCTAGTCTACATCTTTCTAAAAATGCGTTTATCAGTTAAAATTATTGTGTCACATAAGATATAGAAGAAAATACCTAAGCAAACATACACAACTCCCTTGATTATTTTAGTAGTGAATACAGGATGTTTTACAATGATTTTTGTTCAGCTACAAGCTCAGCTGTGTGTCCTGACTGTGTAAGCATTGAGTTTAGCACTGCGTCACACAGTTCTGCAATTTAAGCATGAAGAACAGTTTGTAGAGAGTTTAAAGTTAAATGCTTTATAAAGAAGGTTGAAAAATAATCTTTTACTTGAATTTAAACATTCCTCTGCTGTGCTTGGAACTCGGGTGTGGCAGTAGCGCTAATGTTTTAGAATGGAATGAGAGCAGGTTTTCTTAGATTCAGCAATGCAAAATGCAGAAAATTAACACCAAGTAGTGAAAGCAGGTATATTACTGAACATAATATTTATCTTAAACAGGTGCGAGTCAGATTAATATGCTTTAATTGTTTTCTGTGAGTGATGTGGTAGTCTGTTACTGTAGCAGCCACAGCACTTGCAATGATATTCCATCAGGTTTTGGCTCCTATCCCTGGAGGGATTTCCCAGCAGACAGGAGTGATTATTCAGCCTCAGCAGATCCTGTTTACAGGAAATAAAACACAAGTCATACCTACAACAGTGGCTGCCCCTACACCAGCTCAAGCACAGATTCCTGCAGCTGGTCAACAACAACCACAACAACAACCGGCACAACCACAAGCACCGCTTGTTCTCCAAGTTGATGGAGCAGGGGACACATCATCTGAAGAAGAAGAAGATGAGGAAGAAGACTATGATGATGAGGAAGAGGAAGACAAAGAAAAAGATGGGGGTGAAGATGGCCAAGTTGAAGAGGTAAAAAATTTATTTCAAAAGACTGGAGCAGGCTGTGTGTTTTGTTTTGTCTTTATCTGCAATATTTGAAAGAAAACAATATGCTTCAAATAATATTATATTTATATGCTAGTAATTTTGAGAATATTACTTTTATCCTTGTACTTCAATTTCTTTATTTCATATATCGAAGTTGTAGAAACTGTGTGTGTTAGCAAAGCACCTTGAAGTGCAGCTGGGAAAAGTGGGGAGATGCAGCAAAAACTGCTAATTGTCTTTAATACCCTTTTAAAAAATTAAGCAATAATATTTCTGATCTTATGGAGAGGTCAGCCATGGAATTCTGGAAACAGAAATAATCAACTCACTTGGGAATAAGTGCATACAAAAGAAAGGTGTTACGAAGACTGACAGAAAGGAGAGCATATATTTAGTTCAGAACCAATGGACAGTTTAGTTCAGCATATATTTAGTGACAGAACAAATAGACCTTCATCTCACTGGGTATTCCATTGCTTTCTGTTACACTAGAACAAGCCTGAGAACTCAAATTTTATTATAAAGCACCTTCTGGAAATACACCTGACCTTGATTTAATGAAGTCAGGAGATAGGAGCAGGAGTGAATATTCTTCATGACTTGTTGCATTTTAAACAATATGTGCTTAATTTAGAGTTTGGGTTTGGACTTGAGCCAGTGGCTCTTACTAAATTCTGGTGTGCCGAAATTTTGGGGCACCAAAATGCCCCATAAGAATTAGATATTTTTTTTTTTTTAAAGCTGGGGAGGGAATGCTAATAAGGTGAAAGTACTGTTATTTTAGTCTTTGACAGGAAACTTGGTACCCCTTAAATGTATCCCTAAAATGCATTTTGAACTGTCAAACCAGTTCTCTGCAACCTTTCTAATTAAGGTTCCATTTAAAATGCCATCATGAGAAGCATATGTAGCATTTCACAGTCTCTGTTACCCATGTAGTAGATCCATGTAAAAATTCTAATTTTTTGTCAAGGAGTTAAATCAGGCTTTCTGTAGTACCTCTACAGTGATGTCTAATAGAATTTTTCTGTTACAACTTAGGTTGGGTTCACATCACTTTTCCACTGTATTGATCAGCATTGATGTCAGTTTGAATGTTGTAATAATTGCCTCATTAAGTGTAGGTCATCATGCTTAAATATTAAGTATTCTGTAATAGTGTCTTAATGGTAGCATTCTTGTGGATTTTTTTTTTGAATATGCCAAGACTTTATTATCAGCATGCCAGACATCTCCTGTTACTTCTGCTACAGGTGTTCATCAACAGTTACTTAAATACTGGACCAGCTTCTTAAAGCTTTTGAAGTCACTTAAAGTCTTAATTTGGAAGGAACTGGAACTTTTTTCTTCTTCACTAGCATTCTCTTCCATTTATCTTGCATATTTGTGAAAACATGGGAAGACTTTGGAAAAGTTGCTCTGTGTTTATTAGAGGTTGTTTTAACTTTGAAATGTGTGTATTTACGTGAGATGAAAAAGAAAACACCAAAGTTTTTCTGGAAGAGTGTTAGGAGAAAGAGGGAAAAAAAGGAAAGTAATTTTTAAGGGACATGAAAATAAATTTTAGGTCTGGAGAAGTTATTTTGTATGTAAAAATCTGTGTAATGGTAAATTTTTTGTAAAGACAAATTGCAATCACCTGAACATTTACAGGAAAAGAGCAGGAATGGCTGTGGTGATAAAAAGCTGCTGTGCCCAGAGTCTGGCCTGGACGCTGAAGTACCGAATAAAATTGGTAAGGGTATCTTAGGATGGAGCACAGGAATGAAGTGTATGTACATCAGCCTTCTGCTGGAAAGCCTGATATTCACCACCTCAAATGAATTTTAGGTCCTATAGTTCATACACAAGACTGTAGTCTTATGTAAATAATCAAAGTACTTTGATTTTACTAATCAGCATAACATTTTGCATGTGTTTCAGGAGCCTCTTAACAGTGAAGATGATGTGAGTGATGAGGAAGGACAAGAACTGTTTGATACAGAAAATGTTGTTGTGTGCCAGTATGATAAGGTAAACTCTACTGAAGAGAATCCAAAGAGTCTACTCTTTGTTCTTCTTACTATCAAATCATATTTTTTAGGAAATATCGTTGTGACTGCTAAGTACAGGTAGATCTGTAAAGATTATAATGTGAATGGTCGTGTTAGAATTGCCTGTTGTTTGTTTTTTAAAATAAGATTTCTGTGACATGTTTGTATAACCCTGATAACGAGTAAAGTTTAGATGGATTTGGGTGCGTTTTCTTTTTATTTTTTTTTTCTTTATCATGTGTTTTTATGACCTTTAGCAAAGGTCAGTCCTCTGGGCTAAGGAGAAGTTTGTACATTTGCTGTGATGGGGAATGGAAAAAGCAGTTACGATTTACACTTGTGGAAAACTTCCTTGATCACTAAAAGTATCTCTTCTTGATGAATAGTTATCAGAGGAGATGGTTCTTTCTGTGCTTTGCATTCTTTACTGAAATGGCCATGTGGAATGCTTTTGCTTATCTTGCTTTAAATTCTGCATAGCTGTCTTGCTTCCTCTATAATGACTAATTTCTTCATGCATATTTGTCCTGGAGTATGCAAGAATTCACCATGTCTGGAATTATTTTAAATGCATCTAGGGGATATCAATCAACTTTTTAGTGAGGTAGTAGTATGCGGAAAGATTATTCAATGTGAATTTTCTTTATTTTGCTATGCTAGAATAATTGGACTGTAACGAATAAGCATTCTTTTTAAAGGAGAAAGAAAATCTCTGAGTTTGTTGAATAAAACCTCCTATGTTGTGAAGGATGCCTCGCTTAGAAGATCTAAAGTTATGCCCAGACTCTGCTTAGACTTGTCATCAGATTCAACAGAGAATTTAAGATAGAGAAAAGTGGTATCAGTATTTGCATCTCAGCCATCTGTCTTCTCAAGGCTGTAATCCAAAAATGTTAGTTTTAGGGCAGTTTGTGAGGACAGTGAGGAACCTAAAAATAGCAGTCAGAAAATCTTGTTGGGAGCTGTTAAAGCTGAGCATCAGGAACTACTTTGAAATCCTCATCCTCTTAAAAAGTTAAGAATGTGAACTCTGTAGAGAGCTGTCCATCATTAACCTCTAGCACCACATACTTTGAAAGGACCCTCATCGCTTATCAAACAATCATTATTCAGTTTGTCTCTGTAAAATACACAGGATTAGCTCAGTTATTCTGAGCAGAGTTCCCTCTTGTATTAGTGTCCAGCATCAGCTGATGGTGGGTGCCTCTAGAACAGTGAGACAGGCAGATTGTGATGCTCATGTAGAACATTTTAGCATCCTTCTGTGAACTTGAGAGAGATATAGTGGCTTAGTATCAGATGGCCAGCAGGGGATTTTTTTCCTTAATTTGTCAGAAATTAATTAGATTGTTTTTGAATCTTTGTCTTACGACAAGAAGTTTCATAGATGATGTGTGGAGAATTACCTAGTTTTCATCCCATTAGTTTCATATGATACCTTCTACTTGTTTATTTAGGAAATTGTTCCCTCTTTGCTTTCTTAGTGCCTTTTACGATATTGCAGACCATCATAACCCTCCTCAGTCATCTCCTTGAAATCAGAGCTACGCTTTGCTTGGTTGCTACTTTTACAGTTGTGCAAATATTTGATTGTTCTTACTTTAATTCTCCAGATCTGTTTTAGTCTTCTGTATCTTACTTGATACAAGTAGATAAGGTTGGGGGAGGATCAGAGATACTCACAATGCAGGTGAACCTTTCATTTATTAAGTGGTGTAGCAATGTTCAGCAGTAGTTCATGTGTGCTTTTGACCCCACTGAACTCAGAGCTGATGTTCCCATGGAGGAGTCTTAGAACTTGGGGATCTCATTCTGGACTTGTAATTGTCGACTTTAAACCCATCATTTTTTCTATCCATGTAAGTTGGAATTGATTTTTTTTTTTTTTACATTGTTAACTATCTTCATATACTTTGAATGCCACCATTGTTTTATGACACAATGAGTTAGGGCAGTAGCATCAGTCTGCAGCTGTTTAGTAACTGTCCTTCTGTACAGTCAGTGATGTTTTGTCATTTTCCATATGATTAGTGAATTCTTAAACAGTGCAGACTCCAGCCAGCACAAATCTTTTCTGGAATGATCTCATTTCACTGTAGAAACAGTGTTTTTTACCCTTGTTTTTCCATCTTTGTTCATCTGAGGACCTTGCTCCTTACCTCGTGGCAGCTCAGATGCTTCTGATGGGGGATTTTTGTTCAATGCCATTCGGAAGGGTACGTAGAGTATGTAAGCCAGGTCCTTCCTTCTTCATTTTCAGTTTCCACTGACTTCTTAGCTTAAAGTGAGCACAGACCAAATGATGCTGCTAATAACTGATCGAGGGCTATGGTCTTATCTGTTCTGGTGCCCATGGGAAAATGCTTGTCGTACATAGTTGCTGTTAGTTTTGGTGATATTTTCTAATGGAAACCCTGCATGCTGTCTTGAACCAAGGGGATTTTGTATTTTGTGGGTTCCTGACTTGGCTTCCTCATGAAGTAGCACTTGACTGTGTAATACCTAAAATGGCCACAATCCTGCATATAGATGTTTGCGCAGTAGGCGTAATACAATTGAAGTCTTAAGACTACAGCTATTTCTTGTTCTTTTATCTTCTCTGATGTCCCTTCAGCACATTGGTCAACCTGCTTCCTGTAGTTCGGTAGTATTTGTTTGGGAATAGGCATAAAGAAAGAAGAGTTGCTTTGAGACAGATTATTTTTGTAAAGAAAATATGACTAAAACTGTTGTTTTATTCTTATTCTGTGTCAACCTGAATACCCGTTATAACCTGAAGATCCATTGTGTTATGGGCTTCACAAATATGGACTCTCTGGGGAGGAAGAACGGAGTTAGTTTTGGGGTTTGATTGGGTTTTTTCCCCACTGTGGTGATGGCATGTGTGAGAGAAGTTGTGGATGTCCCATCCCTGTCACTGATCAAGATCAGGTTGAATGGGGTTTTGAGCAGCCTGGTTTAGTGGAAGGTATCTCTACCTGTGGCAGGGGGGCTGGATGAGCTTTAAGGTTCTTTCCAGCCCAAACCATTTGATGTTTTCTTGATTTTATTTAGTCCGCCCCGTGATGAACAGGCCAGCTATCTATCTATATGTAACATAATCAAACTAGCTTTCATGCAGAAAAGAGTTTGCACAAGAGGTCCAAGTAATAAAACTTAGTGTTTCACCCCTTCAGGGCTGGTTTAAAACATTAGTCTTTCTGTTACAGTGGTTGAAAAGGGATTTCTGGCTTTCAGGTGGAGCTTTGTGGCTGTTGTAATAAAAAATAATTTTTGGTTTTCATAGTTAAATGCAGAATTGATTTTTGAAATTTGTAGTAATTTAGTAATGTATATCTAATAGTTATTATCATTTTTTCTTGCCCTTAAAATTTACTTACGCGTTATTATTTCTATCTGATACAGACTAATAGTTCGACTTTTTTCCATTTTTAGATTCACAGAAGTAAAAACAAATGGAAATTTCATCTCAAAGATGGCATCATGAATCTTAACGGAAGAGATTATGTATTTTCCAAAGCCATTGGGGATGCAGAATGGTGAAGTTTTAAAAGACAAAAAAACTCCCTGTAAAAGGAAAAAAAAAAAAAGCAGGAAAGGTTGAGACTTGGATGTGTACTCTAATCAAATGTGTATCTGCACATCAGAAATAAACAATAAACAAAAATATTGGAACAAAGGTAAAATGGGGCAACAAAGACACTACTTCAGCTGAGCAAGCCATGGACTGTAGCAGCTATAGCATTGTCTGGGAGCTGGTTTTGTGTGTTAGGAATACCTTAATTATCAATTCTACATACAGGTACCTGCAGCTGGTATTTAGCATGTAAGGCTTTGTTCCCCTTCCCCCCTCCCTCCCTTCTTCCCTTGATTTACAATTTTAAAATACTTCTTCCATTGATTGAAGGAACTCTTCCCTTTGATAGATTATTAATCTGAAAATGCTTATTGTGTGTACAAATCTTTGCTTTGAACACTTCCTTTTGGTAGTGAGGATGGTCAGAATGTTACTTAAACTGCGTGCAAGCTTTGTACAGAAGGGTAAGAATTAAGGTGTTAAATTTTAAATAACTTGTATAAGGAAAATATTTTTAATTCTGATATGCTCATTAATTATTATATCTATTTGTTGTTTTCGGTTCCCCATAAACAGGTGGTTGTTCCTGGCAGTTACAAAGTGGTAGAATGATCATTTATATTTCAAAATTATTTTAATTTCATGTGATCCCTTTTATTTACGGCTGTGGCTTTTAAATACAAAGCAACTCCCCCCACGCAAGTCAGATTGCTTAACTTGTTAGTTATATTCTTGCTGTTTGGTTGTGGTTCAGCATCACTAAATTGAAACAACTAATTAACTGTCCATTGACATTATTTTATTTTTTAATTATTTTTTTTTTAAAGGCTTTGCAGACCTTTTGTATCAAATGCAGGCATAATATAATGCATTCCTTCACCTGCTGAAGGAATGTCATCCATAGTCCAGACATCCCCAAATAATTCAACAGACCGCAAGAATGACTAAATTTTAATATAGAAAATTGCATAAAAATTCTAACATCCTGGCTGCAACTCTGTTAATCAAAGATCTGCTTTACTTAAAATTGTAGCGATAAGTTACCTGCAGTGGTTAATCTCTCTGAAGTGTCCAGGTGGCATGTAATTTCATGTAGAGCTTTACAGCTTTGAGAACACAAATTTTGTTAGTATCTTTAGACTGTCTTGGTAACAAAAGCAAGCAGCTGGATGCAGTAAACTTTGTGCAGTCACTTTTTCACTTGCTTTCTCCAGAGGTGGGGTTTTGTTTTCCTTTGTGAAAAGCAATAAGGTTGCTCCCCACTCCTTCCCTTTCTCTCCTTTTTGTGAACACCTTTTTGTCATGCATAGGTTATTCTTGCAAGCTCTGCTTTTACTTTTCAATGAGGAGAGGGAATGGGCATTATACTTCAAGTGTGGAGGAAGGATGCTCATATGGCTCACCATTGAAAAAAAAATTTGTTTCATTGGGTGTTCAGGAAAAGCAGGAAAAACCACAGGGAAGCAGACATTTGAACCACAATTTCTGACAGTTTTTTTTGCTTGAGAATGAAATTTTGAATATTATTTAAGAAAGTCAGTGTATTTTAGTGGTGTATAATGACTGCTCTGATTTTTATTCTGATTTACATGCCCCCAAGTGCATTCATAGTCTCAGTAGTACATAGAAAAATCTATACATTGTAAAGAGGGTTTTTTTTTCTGTGATTTTGTACACCTGTGCTCTCTGATACAGACAAAAACTGCCTGTAGGCTGTATCTAGAGCCGCATGGTTGTCAGTAAGCCATCTACGTGCGTAAGCTTTATGAAAAGTTAAATGTTTCTTCTGATTCATTCTTAAGTAATGGAATCATCATTTAGAGTGCATTTTTGGCTTGGGGCTTCAAGCTGTCTCAAACTGATTGGTGTTTGCTTTCTTCCAAACAAAGCAGATATTTTATTTTTTTACCACTGTTGACACTTCTGTACAGCTGCAATGAAATCAATACTGTACCAGTTAATTCTTTCCCTCACCTTTTCCGTATCCTTACCAGTAGGTCTTTAGTAGTAGATTTCAGAAAAATTCCTGTCATGCTGCACAACCAAACCAATAAAAGGAAGAAAATGCCTTTAGCTATAGATCCCTTTTTGTACTACTGGAACCCAGATTACTTGTACAAACTTTGTTTTCATACATCTTAATGATTTTTTCACTCAAATACATATACTAGAAGCTGCATATCCTTTTTATTTATTTTTAAGGAATAGCAAAACTTTAAAGATAACTTAAGCTTAGCTTGTTCTGAAGGATGTTAGAAGCTTTCTGAACTTGCACAGTCTCCTATGAGCTAATTGTGTGGTATGCTTTTCAGAGAAGTTTCGTCTTCAAAAACAGATAACCTGTGAAGTTTTCGGAAAGCCAGTCAAACATGAACATACCAAACTGTGCTCTTATTGCTGCATCAAGTGTTCCTTTTTTTAAATCAAAAAGCATGTTTTAATTTCATTTTATTGTAGCAGCTTGCTCTAAGAATGTAGTTTGCTTAATTTTATTATTGTACTTGAATTTTTAATTGTGGTTTTAACAACGTAACTGAACAGACCATTTCTTTAGGTTCCAAAGAAACCATTCCTTTCAGAGGGCAAGGGATTCCCATACCATAGCTCATAAGTGATTATTTCCACCCCAACCCCCCCCAGAAATAGTGTTTCTGGTTGTGTTTCTTTTTTTTTTTTTTTTTTTTTTTTTTACCCACACCATTTAAATAGTTCAGTATTATGGAAACAGTTAATGATTTCAAAAAGGCTTATGTTAAAATTTGCACAGATAATGGAGCACCTTCTTATGATGAAAAAAATGGGAAAGATAACTTTGTAATTGTAACCATGACAGCTGATGGAAACTTGCAGAGCAACTGGGCAAACTCGGGAGTGTTGTGCCTTTTCAGTTTGTAGAATACCTGTTTTGCCAGTATGACAATACTTTGGTTTGATTCCTGAAAGCGTAACATTTCCTGCAGTGGTTCAATCAGAAAAGCAACTTTTTTTCTCTAATTCTGTTGGGGTTTAGTGTGTGCAATCATTTTAAAACATCTAAGTTGAAAACAAATTGAAATATGTTTTCTGTTAAGGAGATAATAGAGAATTTAGTCACATAAGGAACTTTATGTTGAACTATTTAAATAAAATATGTTTTTATTCCCCCTCAATTGCTGGTTAGCCACAAGATTTCTTTGAGTTTTCATACTCTTGTTCCTGCATTGTACTCACAAGTTGCATTTGAACATCATTCCGTTTCCTAAACGCAATTTGTAACTGTGGTCCGAGTTTATTTCCAAGGACATGATACGTGATTCTGAAGCACAGTTTCTAGAAAAGAACATGTTATGTCATGTAATAGATTTTTTCTTTATAAAAGTTTATTTCTGCTGCACAATTTGGAGTGTTAAACTTCATTGAGTCCGTGAAAATAATTCCACTGCTTAGCAGTAATTATGTCATCACATAACACTACCAGAGTAAAGGTTCTTAATTCCAGTGAGAGTTAAAAACCTTGGTAACTGAAGTTCATTTTGATTCAATCTCTTCAATTTATAAAAGATTTTTTTAAAAATAAAGCCTCTCCTCAGTTTCCCCCAAAGCAGAAGCTTCCTGATAGAGTGCAGTAACATGTCCAGGAAGTGAGCAGTGGTTTTAGGGTAATGCACACTGGATTGATAGTGGACTGCCTTACTCAGCGTTGTGGGGTTTGCTGTGTGCCACCCCACCCTGCCCATACACCCCAATGGAAATTAAGAGTTCTTTTCAGACTGAGATTAGTGACTATACAAAATGGAGAAACTTGCATATTGTTATGTATTGGTGCCTGGCATTTACAGTCTCGTTTTCCCATTGCTGTGATTGGTTGGGAAATGTATAAAAAACCAGTCCATTGGTTTCCCTGTTGTCTACCTTTTTTCAGGCAGTTCATGCAGTGTGTCTTTTAATTATTGGTTGGTGGGTTAGACATTGTGGAACAAAAGGAGCTTTTTTTAACAGGAAGAACTACCTTGGGTTAGCTATATGTGCAGTCATCCAATGAGACGTGTTCCAGAGTGCATAGGGTACCAATAGATTATGGAATGGGGGAATACCCTTTTTTGCTGTTCTGAGCTACTATTGTCAACTGCTGTTGTACATATACTGTTATGTGTAAGGGGGTAAATATATTTATTATGTTTGTAAAATTCATTCTGTACAATTGCAGATCAAGGTTGCTCCTCTGTGATATACAGGATATTATGTTTCAAAGGCCATGCTTGGAATACAATTAGAGAACTTAGTATTTTGATGTACTAAGACCTATTTTAAGTTTAATATTTTGCCTTTGCAAAAACTTTAATTAAAGATGTTATTTAAAAATGTTTGTCACTTCATTTAATATTTTGCATATGGCATTTGTTTAATGTGTAAGGCTTAATGATTACTATGTAATAACCCTGAAGATTCTGAATTTGTTTTAATCACACACAGGTAACTTCACTGTCACCTACATGTTGAGTTTGCCTTGCAGATCTTCCATTTAACATTATCACAGCATTATAAAAAAAAAAATCACATATTAATCTTGAGTTGCCCATTCACTTCCATAGGCCCAAACCCCTCTCTCTGAAGATGGATAGTGGTGAGCTGGTATTTTGAAATGTTTTTTATTGGTAACTATTTAAAAAATGTGTAACTGGGTGTATTTGGTTTATACTTTCCAGTTTATGTCTTCATTTTTAGTTCAATTTTGTAAACAAGAAGTTATCGACTGCAAACAGCAAGTGTTTAATTTGGAGAAGTATATTTCAATAACAACTCCAAAACGAAGACTTAACATTAAATTGTAAAAATAAAGAGAAGTACCTTGTAACACAAAAAACGTGTCATGTGTGGACACGTGATTCTGTCAAGGTAGAAATGCTTTTCCTTTGCTAGAGGTACCAAATGAAGCAGAACTGCGCTGCGGACAAGCCCTCTAGATGTCTGGAACAGAAGACACATTTGAATCCCAAGAGAATTGGGATGCTGCTTTACAAGTGCCGGAGCTGGGAGGATGTAATGCCAAGGTAAAGTAAAACCCTTCCTAGCTGGTGATGGAGAAAATGGTTTGGACTAGCAAAATAAGGAAGGCAGTCTTTTCTGATGAACCGCCTGGCTGCCTGGTTTTTCAAAGTCTTATTCCTGTTTGTTGTAGGATCCTGATGCAAGACCCCGCAGACAGGGTTCCTTGTGTTTCCTGCCATACCTGTGTCTGAGGTTCTTGTACAGGCCTTTCCCTTAGAGGAACAGCTGGCTGACTTCAGGTAGGCCATCTGGATTCAACAGGTAATGTATTCTGGGAAACAGTGTTCTGGGGAGTACAGCATTTCTAAAAAGGATGTATCACAGAATTTGTTCCGTGGAAGCGCTGCTTCTAGGTTTTGTTCTGTCTTCTGTTGCCTCCCCCTCCATTCCCCCTGAAAACTCAAATTTTGGCAGGAAGGAAGCTCTTCCCTTGTGAGCTTACCTTGTTCAAGCTTTAACAAAGAGAAAGCATTAGTGCTGGGAGCAGTATTTCTGACATACTGTTTTTTATGAATTGAATTTCTTTCTAATTTAATAAGTAGTTTTAATCTTAAAACATTAAAGCAGCATCAGGTAAATTCCTGTGTATGTGTAGGCAGTTGACGAACAGCTTGTTAAGTGTGATGTTGATACTGATGTTAAAAATCGGTTAGCTAAAGAAGAAGTGTATTCCCATCACAGATGCTTCTGCATGTGTCAAGTTGGTTTTGAGAGGGGGCAGAGGGGAAGTGCAGCAGTTCTTAATTTTAGCAGAATTTGGTTGCTGTTA